GGGGGAGGGAGGAAGGGGGTGGCCCAAATTTCAGGAAATGCAAGCAACGTCATTTTATTAGTACAGTCAGGACTGGGGAGAGACCCAAATTTGGACGCGCTGTGATCCGAGCCCCCCGTGGGACCTGGATGGTACACAGGGTGAGTGTGCCCCATGACTGCCTGGAAGGCTCCAGGGTGGAGTGCACCCAGAAGTGCCTCCTAAGAGAGACCTGGCGGTGGGCTTCGGAAAACTCAGCCTGGGGGCCCCCTCTGGAGCCCGGCTCTACTCAGAGACACCCGGGGTCCCCGTGGGTTTGGTTGGCTCCACAGCAACTGGATTTTTAAGGTCAGGGACCAGGGGTCAGGGTGCTGTGGCTTGGGGGAGGGATGCTAGGCTGGGGCAGCTCAGCATGTCAAGGGTCCCAGGAGTTTGTCAATTTGAAGAGGAAAACGAGGCTGTGATTCTCCACTCACTCATTTCCTTGTCCTGAGTCGACTCCAACTCACCAGACAGAGTAGAACTACCCCTGCCAAGTCTGTGGGGGTAGATGGGCCCTGCTCTGCGGGGCTGAGGGAGGAGACAGGGGGCTTTCAGAGAGCCTCCGCTGGAAGACAGCTCCTGCTTTGAGCATCTGAGGTCCCCACCACTCCTGTCTTCTTATTAGAGGAACCTCCACCGCCCCCAGGGAACATCCCCTCCCTTCAGCCAGGTTCCAGCCCCAGCCTGCGGGGACGTGCCTAAGGCCCCCTCCCCTGACCATCTCTCCCTATCTCAGGGTGAGGCCCTTCCCAGAGGCCACTGTCAAGTATGTTTGGAATGAGCTGGGGGCACAAGGAGGTGACAGGACTTTCCGTTCCCTTCTGCCCCACCCCTAAACTTCCTCCTCCCTCCCCAGGCCTGCATTTCCCTGTCTTCCAAATGGTTTAACAATCCTCCCTCCGAGCACTATCTCCGTGGTAACATTCATAAAGCAGGGTCAATAAGAGCCATTTATAGTTATTACGAAGGAGCCTAGCTGGTGTCGTAGGTTAGGGGGTGGGCTATTCACCGCAAGGTCAGCCGTTCAAATCTACCAGACTCTCTGTAGGAGGAAGATGAGGCTTTCTGATTTCATAGAGATGTTCAACCTGGGAAACCCACAGGGGCAGTTCTACCCTGTCCTATAGTCGCTGTGAGTCAGAATCCACTCAGTGGCAGGGATCCGTGTGTGTGTGTGTGTGTGTGTGTGTGTGTTACAGTAACTCTGAGGAGCCCCCCTGCTGAGAGATTAGTGGTTGAAAAGACTTGGTGATCAGCTCCTTGACGATGACCCCCTCGGGCGCCCAAGGGGACAGGTCTCCGGGGTCCTCTAGGGTCTCCAGGGAGCAGAGTGGACTCCATGGTTCACGCTGTCGTGAAGCTGGGAGTCCCTGGGTGGCTATTTATTCGTGGTGCCTTGCAAGAAAGTCCTGGCAAACGAGTTCTAAAAAACCAGACGTGTTCTACTCTGACACTCACGGGACACCCTGGGCTAGCATCACCTCGGCAGCCAGGGCTTGGTTACAGTTATTACCACCGACCAAGACCCAAAGCCGTGAGCCTTTTCCTTTACGCCAAGACCTGCTTCCAAAGCAGCAGAGGCCAGCGTGGGGGACTGTGAGCTGGAGTGCCCTCGGTACAAGTCGTAACAACAACAAAGTCGATTTGTACCTAGTGTAAGCAGGTGGGAGGGGGCGTGGTGGGGTGGGGTGGGAAAAGTGCGGCTCCGCTGGGCTCTCTACACCTGTGTGCCACAGACTTTGTGCTGCCAGTTCCCAAGATGCCCCTCTAAACGGACTTCGGGCAAGGAGCCATTCTTCCCTGCACACCCCCCACCTCCACTGCCAGGGACGTTACTACGAATAGGAACATTAATATGAATCACGAAAAGCCAACCTCACTGCCAGCGAGTCCATTTGGACTCACAGGGACCCCACAGGACAGAGTAGAACTGCCCCTGTGGGTTTCCTAGACGGGAACTCTTTACTGAAGTAGAACGCCTCATGATCCCCGCCCCGGGAGAGGGTGGTTTTAAAACACTGACCTTTCTGTCAGCAGCCCAAAGTGTAACCCACTACGCCACCGGGGCGTGGGAGATACTTACCCTCCTACTGAAATGGAGCGAAATAAATCTTGTCGCGGCAACTACGGGGATGAACCGGGTGTGCACACCTTGTTGCGTGGAAAGCAGGGACTTGGCGCTGTGAGCCCTGCCCCAACGCCCACGATGACGCCCACCACCCAACTCCCACCTCCCCCCCAGATGGGAAAAGCTCCCCCTCTTAATCCACACGGGCTCCGGGCTCCGCAGGTGAGCGCCTGGTCTGAGAGCCTCCCCTCGTCCCAGAGGAGGACCCAGGGAGCCCCACAGGGCGGCCAGCCGCACAGGACTCACCCGCTCTGCCTGGCACTGTCGGAAGCTGGCGTTGATGCGGTCCAGGTCGCGGCGGGCGCCCAGCAGCATCTGCATGATGGCTTCCTTGGCGCGGGCCGTGAGGTTGAGTTCCTTGGTCAGGTTGGCGCGGGTGGCCGACAGCCCCACGACCTGGCCGTAGAGGCCGTCGGCGCGGCGCTCGGTGGCCTGCAGGTTGGACTCGGTGCCGCCGTGCACGTTGCCGTAGACCATGAAGAGCACCAGGCCCAGGATGATGAGGAACTGGATGAGGGAGACGAAGAGGAAGAAGTAACGCATGTAGTACCAGCAGCCTCGCTCCGAGCCGCCCGCCTTATGCAGCGCCCGCGAGTAGGGCGCCCCGCGATCCATCGCTAGGCCCATGTGCACCCTTCGGCTGCCCGCTCCGCTCTGGACAGCGCCCCACGGGGAGTGTTTATATTACTCCTTTTAATACTTCCTCTGCCTGGCTCCTTCCTGGCCAGGAGGAAATGGGGGCTGTGGGTTATCACAACACTCCCACTCGGGCTGTGGGGGGGGCCCAGGCGCAGCTGGGCCAGCACGGAGGCGCCTCCAGGAGTCTCAGTTCCCTGTCCGGCCCTTGTTCTGGGACCCTGTAGTCAGCCGGTGATGTGTAGGGTCTCATTTAACTCCTTCATCCCCACCCCAACCCCTGGGCCTGTAGGCCGCCCTGAACGGTGTGCATGGTGGCCTCCTTTGACTGGGATCTGAAAGGTTGGAAGTTCCAGCCCATCCAAAGGCCCCTCCGAGCAATGGGCTGGCGAGCTCCTTCGAAGGGTCCGCCATCAGAAGCCGGGTGACTTGGGGTTCTACTCTGATGTATGTGGGCAGCAGGGGCCGGGGTTGATCTCCCAGATGCAACTGGTCCAGGTCTGCTGCTCTTCACGCTGAACCCAGGGGGGAAACTGAGGCACGGGGAGGACGAGGGACTTCCCTTGGGTCTCATGGTTCGCAGACCTGGAACTGAACCCCTGCCGGCTGGTGTCCCCATTTCCTAGCTGGTTCAACGAGATAACACTTGGAAAGGGCTTAGCCCAGAGCTAGCCACACAGGACGCACAGCAAGCTCCCGTCGTGGAGTGGATGCCGACTCACGTGGCCCTTAGGACAGTGTGGGTCTTTACTGCCGGCAGTGGAGAGCGCCATCATCTCCTCTCAGCATGACTGGTGGTCTCGACACATCCCCACTACATCACCAGGGTTTCTGGGGTCCATAGTAGGTGCCCAATAATCGTACTCGAGGGTGCCTTGCAGAGAGCTGGTCCGTGGATGGCAGCAGCGCTGGGCTCCCCACACTCTGTCATTCTCGGGCGTCCCGACACCCCCACCCGGGGCAGTGAGTGCGTCCGCAGAGCAGCAGCACTGGCTTGGGGTTGGACATGCTGCCCCTCTCTGTGCCTCACTGCCCCTCTGTAGGTCTCAGGCTGTGGCCCAGCTCCCGAGAAGGGCCTGGCTGCTTTCCGTGTGATTTGTGGTCCTTGTTACTGCTGTTAGGACTTGGGGACGCCATTGGGGGGCTGCTTGGTGAGATGGTGAGCTTGGTGTCCATCTTTCTGCCTCGCACCCCCCACTGGCGTCTTCCTGAGACACAGTGGGCAACCCTAGGTGGGTGGGGGACAGAGTTCAGGACTGAGAAGCGAAGGCTGCTGGGTGAGTCCCCCGCCCCCATCTCCAGAGTCTCAGCTCTGTGCCAGATGATGTCATGGCTGCCCTAAAGGTGTCAGCCCCTGGTCTTGAGCAGACAGAGCCTGAGACAGACCTGCCTGGCCTGGGGTGGGGGTGGGGGTTGGGTGTCAGGGCTGGGCTGGAGGAAGAGGCCGGTGACAACCGGAGGAGCCTGGGAGACAATAACACAATTGCTGTCCACTATGAGAGACCAAGAAGGGGAAGGCCGGGGCAGGGGGACCCTCCCCCGCCATTAGCCGGGTGATGGAGTGGGGGCCTAGCTGTTGGGGAGGGGGCCGCCAGGGCTGTGCTCCACAAGGGAAGGGAAGGAGGGGGAAGGATGGAGCTGAGGAGGAAGCTCCCAGGGGGAGGCAGGAAAACCCAGTCTGACCTTTGGCCTTTGTAGCTACCCCAGGATGCCTGATTCCTGATTCCAGATCCTTGTCTGCTCAGGGGGGTGGGGAGGGAAAGGTTGGGGTGGGGCCCTGGGGCTGGTGCCCAACCAGCTGTTTATCCAGGTTGGCCGGGCCCACCCAGAGCCCCCAGAGCAGGGTGGGGGGAGGAGGTAAGCCTTACAGCATCAAGTAGGCAGGGGCCCTGGAGTGAAATGCTGGTGGACGCCCTGCCCGCAGCAGTGGGAGACTCAGCCCTCCCTGGCCTAAAACGGGGACAGCGTAGGCAGCAGTGGCGTGAAGCGTTCACAGGGCTGGATGCACACGGAGCCTCAATGCATGGGGGGGCTTTTAGATGGGAGGAGCGAGCCGGGGAGGAAACACCAGAGGCCTAGAGTCCAGCAGGGGAACTTGGGTAGAGGCAACGTCTGGGAGGGATACTGGTCTTGAAGTGTGCTGAAGATCCGGGGTATCTGTTGTGGGCTGGATTGTTTCCCCCCCAAAAACAAAAACAAAACCTATACCAAAATCCTAGCCCCTGGTGCCTGTGAACTTGGCCTTACGCAGATAGAAGATCTTGGACAGTGTTATCAGTTAGATGAATACGAGGTCATATGGAGTAGGTGCGATGGTGTCATTTTAAAAATGTATTCTAAATCTATATTTTTGAATAGAATTATCTTGATTTATGTAAAAATGAAGATGATAGAACAGAGTTCCCATCGATGGTGTCATTGAAAAAAACAACGTATCGTGACTACAGGTGACCGAGTCGAACTGGCCCCAGAGCTTTCTCGTTATAACCTTTAGAGAAACACACTGCACGTTTTTCTCCCCCGGTGGTGTCGTGATTGTGCACGGAGGCTGCTCACTGCAAGGTCAGCAGTTCAAAATCACCAGCTGCTCAGAGGGAGAAACAACGAGGCTTTCTACTCCCATAAACAGTTCCGGTCTTGGAAACTCCCGGGCAGTTCTACCCTGTCCTACGGGGTCGCTAGGCGTCTGCATTGACTCGATGGCAGTGCTGGTCTTGTTCTGTCCTCTTCTCCCCTGGAGCTGCTGGGTGGATTCGGGAAATTGTCAAGCTTCCGGCGGCGGGCACTTGAGCTTCGCCAGGGTCCCTAATCCAGTCCTGTCTGAGTGAGGTCCTTACCAAAGAGAAGAAAACCCGGGCCAGGGCCAGAGAAAGGACGGCCGTGTGACGTGGAGGTGGAGACTGGAGTAGGCTACAATCCCAGGGTTGGAGCCCGGTGGTGCTGGCAGGCAGACGTTAGACTGCTCACCCTAAGGTCAGTGGTTCAAACCCACGAGCCGCTCCTCGGGAGAAAGAGGAGGCTCTGTGTCCCCGTAACGATTTGAAGCCTTGGAAATCCTCTGTAGGCTTGCTGCGTTGGAATCAACTAGATGGCAGTGTGTTGGGAGCCGGTGGCCATTAAGGCCTTAGTCTCAGCCACGGAGCCAAACTTGGCTGCTTCCTGGTTGTTAAGTGTCGTCTTTCATTTGCAAACCTGTGGGGGACTGGCCCTGCCTAATTCCTGCCCAACCCTACCTCCACGTTCCTAGCTACGTGCTCTGTAGCACGGGCGGTTGTAAAGTTGACCTTTTCACCCATTGGTTAATAATGCCGAGCGCTCATTGGACTAAGATGGACTTTGCATTACGCCTGATGCACCTTAGTCTGCATGCAGGGCGTCTTTGAGAACTAGCGCGCGCCTTTTTACCTACAGCTGATTGGTTAACGTTCTTATGCTTCATTAATGTACCTGTTGGATTGGCTGTTGTGTAGCACACCTTATTAAAATATGCACCTCCCAGTCCCCCTTTATATGCCCCAGCTTTGCCCAAATAAAGGGAGCTTGATCAGCGTTTTGTCTTGCTCCACGTCTCCGTGTCTTTTCTTCCACCCAGGCCCGCCTTTCCCTGCAGGGCCCTGCTCGTGCGTCCCGCAGGCCGGGACGCTACAGCAGTGGATTTAGATTTGAGGAGCCAAGGATCCCTGACCCTCCTCAGAAGTTAGCAAGGAGGCAAGCACAGATCCTCCCTCAGACACTCCGCGAGGAAGGAACTCACACACCAGGATCACGACGGCAGACGTCTGGCCTGTAGGACTGTGAAGTGAGACCGTAGCTGGTTTGAGCTCCTCGGTCTGTGATACTTTTTATGGCGCTGATACACGATTCTGATTCCCTGGTGGCGTAGCGGCAACACGTTGCTAACGGCAAGGCCAGCTGTTTGAAACCACCAGCAGTTCCGAGGGAGGAAGAGGAGGCTTTCTACTCCCCTAGAGTGACAGTCTGGGACACCAGGAACAGGGGCAGGTCTACCCGGTCCTATGGGGTCACCAGGACTCAGAATCGACCCGTGGCAGTGAGTTTTTTTCAGTACATTGTTCTACTAATTTAACACCTTATTATTCTTCACGATACATGGGAGAGAGCTACACGGGGATCTGAACGCAGTGCCCATTGACAAGGAAACAGAACGGCGGTCAAGAACACCCAGATCATGCCCAGGTGCGATCATGTTGAGCAAGGGTGAGAGTTTAAGAACCAGACTCGTATAGGAACGTCGTGTGAGGAGCCCTGGTGGCACTGGGGGTTAAGCACTGGGCTGCTAACAGAAGGGTCAGTGGTTTGAATCCACTAACTGCTCCTCGGCAGAAAGATAATCTGCTTCGGTAAAGACTTCCAGCCCCCGGAACCCGATGGAACAGTGTTGCCCCGTGCTCTACGGTCTTCCTGAGCCGGACTCCGCTCGGACTCCGCTCACCGGCAGGGAGCGAGCGAGGGAAAGTCGTACCCGGTTTCCCCGAAAATAAGACGTGTCTAATTTTAATTTTTGCTCCCAAAGATGCGCTAGGTCTTATTTTCAGGGGATGTCTTATTTTCCCATGAAGAAGATACGGTACACATTTATTGTTGAACAACAAAAAAAGGAAATGTATTACCTGTATACGGTACGGTAGTGGTTGTCATCACAAACCAGCATAACCAGACAAACTGTGAATCCTACAGTATCAAGAATTTCTTGTCACTACCACTGTTTCCATGTACAACAATCTTTGGTACATTTACTTGCACTTCCTGTCTGCTCCGGCTATGCTGCGGCCAACGGTGAGCTGCGCGGGCGGTGACCAGCACTACGATGGAGTCCAGAGTTACGGTAGCTTTGGGGGGGCCTTATGTTCGGGGAGGTCTTATTTTCGAGGGATGCCTTATATTTCAGCGAGAGGCAAAGCTGTAAGTAGGTCTTATTTTGGTGGGGAGGTCTTACTTGCGGGGAAACACAATAGTAGCCTGTTTCAAGTTCAAAAACCTTGTT